GGATGATGGGGGTCCCTCTGATGCTGCCGCGAACTGTCGTGAGGCTGTTCCCTCACCGCCCCGGGCCGACATTCCTCAGAGTCCCAAGGTCCAGGACACAGAAGGTGCAGGTCGTCAAAGAACCGAAGAAGTCACTGTGGCTCGTCAGGAAACCGAACTTCCATCCAAGGGTTCTGCTTCCCCATTAGGTGCAGGTGCTCCAGGCGCTGACGGTGCTGGTCCAAGTGCTCCTGCCGAGCCTAAGCAGAAGGAGGAGTTCTTCGATTACGACCCTCATCACTTCTGCGCGAAATGGGATGGGGCCACTCCGGCAATGCTCAACCGCGAGTTCGCCGCGAATATAATCTGGAAGTGCAGGAAGAACCCAAGGTGGGGTTAACCGCTTCAAGAGCTGAAGTTGGCGGAGTCAATATCTTCAGCGAATCATCTGATAGTTCGGGTATTCACTTCTTTTTTTGGCGCTAGTGCGTTTCTGCCTTTTTTGTTGCGTGTTTCTAACAATAGATTGTTGTGTAGGGCTTGAGAGCATATATGTCGGCATTTGCGACATACGATAACAATTTTTGTCAGGAAGAGATGATGTTGGACGTCGCCTGTGTCGAGATCAAAAAGCTCCAAAAGGCGGAAGAGGAGAACCAATTTCTCAGGGGGAGGTGTTCCCAGCTTGAAGGCACCGTTGAAGCCTTTGGGGGCGAGGTAGCGGAAGCTTCTCAGCTTCGCAAGCATGTTGCCGCCCTCCAAGCGCAGAATGAGTCTCTTGAGAAGCGGAACGAGGCAGACTTGCAAAAGTTCCTCGCCGAAAAGGAGAAGCTTCAAAGTTCTCATGACAAGATCTCGCGGGGTGTTGCCGACAAGTTCTTTGACGGCATGGTTTCTTTGTTTAAGCCGCGGTTTGAGCGGATTCAGGCATCGCTGGCTCAACGAGAAGAGGTAGAAGCTGCCCTTGTGGGCTTGGAGAAGAGTAGCTCGATGGTGGCGTTTCTGAAGAAGATGCAGGACAAAGGATGGGAGCTTCCTGCCGGAACGATTCCATCGTTTGAGAGAGAGTTTGCGAAGTGGCAAGCTACCAGTGAAGCTATCGACGAGATAGTTATTACTGGCGAAGACCTTAGCCTCCCGAGCAGATCGGATGTCGATAGCCTGCTAAAAAGAGCAAAAAGGGAGCCAAGAGACGATCCACATTGAGCCTCTTATCTTTTTATCCTCTTTGTATTTTTGCTTTTTATTTGACTGGCTCTTGCGAGGTCTTTTTTTTTTGTAATGACTTTGCCTGAAAGAGTTTTTATAATGAATTTACGTTTTGCTCTTCGTGCTTGTTTTTCTTTTTTGCAAAAGTAAATTAAAGTATCCGCAAATACTTTTAAAGTTTTTGTTATGCGATTTGAACTTTTTAGTTCGGAGTTGGGATCGGGATTCCATTGCCCGTCTTATCACAAACAACGATCAAGATCGAATACCCAGCTTTTCAGGATTCACTTCGGCCTGAAAGGTATGATAGAGGGTCGTACGAGTATTGTCCTCGGCTTTCGTCTTATCCACTTTAGAAGTAATTAAATTGAACCAAAGTATCAAAGGAGTGGTGATCAGCCACTAATTTAATTTTTGTTTCTGCTTTTCCGAATCGAGTGTTCGGCTAGAACATCGATTCAGCAAGATGCATTCGCATAAGAAAATACTGCTCTACGAGCCGAGCTGATTTTCCGAAATAAAAATTTATTAAATTTACAGCTGCACCCGGAGGTTGCCTACGTATCCAAGTTGGGATCAAGCCGCTCGTAGTTCGATACAATTATTGAATGAGTGTTATCACTCAGGGGCCATGCCGGCCCTTATTGAAAAAATGAAAAAAAAGACTTAGATATAAAAGTTGCGGGATTCTTTGTTGAATCTACTCCGCTTGTTTATTGTCTTCAAGAGCTTTTGCCGCGGAGAGCTGCACCTTGCGTTCGCTAATAAAGCAGGATCTTGCCATCTGCTGATTGCCGCAAAAGCGTGAAGATGCCGACCGAGGTAGTGAACTTCATGCATTGGTGGTAGGTTGAGACGATAGCTTTCATCTCGTGGATCTAAGGTGTGCCAAGTATGACATTATAGATCGCTGGTTTAACCATGACCGTGAATTTGACAATCTTTATCACTCCACCGACGTAGACTGTCAGCCGTATGGTGCCGAGGCTGAAGAAAGACTCGCTGGCAAAGCCAGTTGAAGGCTTTGGTGCTGCCTTAATGTCTTTATCGTGGAGTTCCATCTTGGTCAAAGTATCTTTGAATATGATATTGACCGTGCTGCCGGTGTCCACCAATATTTTGGCCACCTTGCTATCGTGGATGGGTAACTCCACAACCGGCGGGTCGTTATGAGGGGTGTGTAACCCAAGCATAACCTTTGATGTGAACGTGATCGTCGGATGGTAGTCCACGGGGCGAGGGAACTTTCGCGAAGTAATCACTTTTTGGCCATACTCTTTGATAGTCCTCCCATGATCATGTTAACCCGTCATTTGGGCGGAGGGGTGGATTGTCATGTTCGCCGTCGTCGTTGTCGTGCTCCGCCCCCTTTTCTTTTTCTTTTTCTTCTTACTTTTTCTCGGGCGAACAACTTCGGCGTCTTCCTCCGGAGCTGCTTCGGCTGCTGCTTTTCCCTGGATCTTGACGGTCCTTGTTGGAGGTGCTTCGGCGCGAGTCCTTAGGGTTGGAGCTGCGTGAGTAAGAACTTTTGTTCTGGGATCGATCTCCGCTGATGTCAATTTTTTCTTCCTTGTATTTTTCGTACAAAGAGCTTTGGAGGTGTCGACAGGCCGAAGTAGCATGCCCCGTTCATCCATGGAAGGAGCAGTAGAGATCGTGGTTATCGTCCTATCGTCTGAATTCCTTGGAGGATCACCGCGGGTCCACTGATTCCAGGGCTTCTCTCCGGTGGCGATGACGGTATGGGAGGACGGCTTGCTTTTGCCCGCTAGATCCTTATCTTGCGAAGTGCTTGCTACGTCTATGTCGTGTTTCTTGGCGTAGAAGGTTTTCTCCTCCTCCATTCGTATGAAAATTTGAGCCTGATGGAGTGCGTCTTCTATTATCACCTTCGGGTTTTTCTGCAGATCCTCTTTGAAGGAGGATTCGAACCAGAGGCCATTCATGAGTGCCTCGATGGCTAAAGCTTGCGGGATCTGGCCGTACGCCGCGGCGGTGTTCTTGAATTTTTCAATAAAATCACGAAGCGGCTGGTCGCGCTCTTGTACCAGAGTGAAGAGGTTGACCGTCCTCTTCGTGATGAACATAGAATAGTATTTTATAAAGGCGTGGGTCAAATATTTGAAGGATTTGATCGATGCCGGCAGGAGGTTGGAGAACCACTTGAGAGCATCCTTGCTGAGATGCTCTACAAAGGTCTAACAGTGGTTAGCTTCGCGTTCGAGGTCGGTTTTGAACCGTTGTCTCTTCATGGCGACGTTGAACCCGATCAGCCACAGGTTCGGGTCTTCCATCTCGTTGTAGTATGGGAGTTTCAGTTTGATCGCCGCGCCGAGACGAACGTCTGCGATCCACGAGGCAAACGGGTTACGTTCGGTGTCTGACAGTATGGCCGAGATCTCGGGTGCCGAACTGGTGGCACGGTGGACTTGAGATCTGATTGCGTTAATCCACTGGTGCAACCTTGCGATCTCAGAATTCAGTTCGTCGAAGGGTTCCTCATTAGCTGGTTCTGCTCCCCGAGTGTTGGCTTGTTCTGGTGTCTCGAAGACCAATCGTCACCCTAGCGGTTCCGATCTCGCGGTGGTCGCGGCTGCCAAAGTGCTGAGTTGCTCGTCATACTTGGCCTGCTGGGCCTGAAGGGTGTCTAGCTTGGACACCAGGTTCTGTGTGAGAGGGAGTAAGGCTGCTTGGATTGCTGCTGCGAGGTCGGTGGCGAGGATAAGAGCTGAGGGTGCTCCCGCAGGTGGATTCGCGGTGGTAGGGTTGCCGTGTTCGTCGAGACCAGATGTCTCCGTCTGCGTGGTGGTGTCCTCGTTGTTGAGGGTGAGGTCACTGTTATTGATCGGAAGGCTCATCGCTTCGGTTCTTTGGTCGCTAGTTTTTGAGAATTTTATTCTCCTAGTCTCCACAGACGACGCCAACTGTTGAACCAGAAAATCACCGCTAAAGATTTGATTAACAGTTGTGGGTTTTAGAGAATAAGATCTTTTAATAGCTGTAAAGCGAAGCGATTACAAGAGATGGCTAAACCGAGAGGTTTATGCCGAAGTGAAAAGAAAGTGTATGCGAAGTAAACTAGAACGCGTTGGAGTTTTTGGTTTTTGGTTTTTGCTCTGCTGCTCTCTAGATTGTATGAGTTGTTCTCTTCAGTTTCAAGGTCTTCTTATTTATAGGGATAGGAGGTCGGTTGCTCCGAACTCCTTTTTCTTTTTCCATTTGGTGAAATATCTCTTATTCTCCGAAGAATATGGGAATACTCCTTTATCATTTGCGTTGATCCAATGCTTCCGGATTCCAAGATTATCCTTTAAGAGATTTCCTTTTTACCGAGCTAGATCGATATAGTCTTATTGATCTTGATGGCCTTAAGTTATTGCTACGAAGAATATGTGAATACTCCTTTATCATTTGCATTGATCCGATGCTTCCGGATTCCAAGATTATCTTTTAAGAGATTTTCTTTTTACCGAGCTAAATCGACATAGTTTTATTGATCTTGATGACCTTAAGTTATTGGTAGAAAAAACCTTTTAGAAAATGTCTCTAACAATTATATTCCCCAATGTATAATTCGGGCTATGCAACATGACAAATGTATTACGATGTAATTTTTAATAAAGTCTAGATGTTGAAAAAAAAACACATCTGTATATATATAAAAATGATAAAAACATAAGAAAATAGTCAAAATACCCAAATTACACAAACTATCTTTTTCTGTTACCAATTTCAAAAAGTGCCTTTTTGGGGAAATTGACTAATTAATTAATTAATTAAAGATGGTGGTGATGCATCAACAATCGCAAGATCTGGAGAATTCAAAATTGTCGCTCTTAACGGCTCCTCTCTCTTCTCTCTCCCTTCTTCGTCGCTCTTTGCCCAAACACTAGGGTTTCACCGACGCTCTTGCATGAGCAGATTCGCCTTTTCTCACATTTTTCCTACTTTAGGGTTTCTAATTGTAGATTTTACGGCGAGATGAAGCACTTTATGTGGCCAAGAAACGGTATCTCGCGAGATGGCGGAGAACCGCACTCGCCGAAGCCAACTATGTCGAAATCGAAGCCTCCACGCAAAATCAGATCCGCCAAAGAAAACGCTCCACCTCCGGATCAGAACTCGTCGACGCCCGACCATAGGTCGGCGACGAAAATGAAGAGTCAGTTGCCCCCGCGTCCGCCGCCGTCTAATCCTCTTAAACGGAAGCTCTGCGCGGAGGTTGCGGCGGAAAATGCCATATCTGGGAACTCAGACTCTGGTGTCAAGGTAAATTGATAGATCCTTTGAAATCTTTCTTCTCCTTGCTTAGAAATTAGGCATTGTCGAACCAAATCCCTAATTAGGTAATGTCGAGGCATATCTATTATTCTACCTAATTGAAGAATGTGTACTTGTTCGGTTTCTGATACCAGAGAGGTAGCGAAACTTGGTGAAGATGATTCACACAACTTGTTTTAGTATCTAGCTAAGTGTTAATTCTTTGCTGTTGCATATCCCAAACATTTTGATCAAATTGAGCCAATCTTCAGGTTATAGTTAGAGTGAAGCCTCTAAACAAAGATGAGGAAAGCGACGTGGTTGTACAAAAGATCTCCAAACATTCCCTCACGATTAGTGGGCAAAGTTTCACATTCGACTCAATTGCTGATCCAAAGTCGACACAGGCAAGATATCTGTTTACATTCTTCTTGGTGTTATTGTCATCATATGATGATTCTGAATCTCTGATTCTTTTGTATGTTGTGTTGTTGTTGTTGTTTTTTCAGGAGCAAATGTTTCAGCTTGTGGGAGCCCCTCTTGTTGAGAATTGTCTATCTGGGTTTAACAGTTCTGTATTTGCCTATGGACAGGTAGTTTTTCATTTTCCAGAGTTCCATTTCTCAGACTGTAATTGTGATTGCAACTTTCTAAGTTTAACTGATCATGAAACCATTTCCATCAGACTGGTAGCGGGAAAACATATACTATGTGGGGTCCTGCAAATGGATTGTTGAAAGAGCACCTCAGTGGTGAACAAAGAGGATTGACCCCACGAGTCTTTGAACGTCTGTTTACCCGAATCAAAGAGGTGATGCATGGTTTTGTTCAATTCACAGCTTTGAACTAGTACAATAATTAGCACATTCGGAAGTAGATTCGTTTTGTTTCTTTTTGGTTCGCAGGAACAAGTCAAGCATGCTGAAAGGCAACTCAATTATCAGTGCCGTTGTTCATTACTCGAGGTTCAGTGACTGGATGCATACCTTAAATTTGGACAGTGTTTGAAGGTTTCATTCCATAGAGTTTGGTATGTAATGTCATTTCTTTCTTTTCTGTTGCAGATTTACAACGAGCAAATAACAGATCTACTGGATCCGAGCCAGAAAAACCTATTGGTAAAAGGAACTTTCAAATTCAACTTGATTTATATTCTTACCTCTTAAGGAAAAAATGGGATTCATTGTTTTCTATTGACGTCTCACCAGATTAGAGAAGATGTCAAGACAGGTGTTTATGTTGAAAATCTGACTGAGGAATACGTGAATAACTTGACTGATGTGTCACAGCTTCTGATTAAGGTTTGTTTCGACACTAATTTCTGTTTGATTTGCAATACTTCTGAAGTACTTGATAAAAATTGCTGCTCTAAAAGAAAGTACACAAGAATACCAGTCTCCAGGTCATATCTTTGCATTTCTCTTAAATTTTTATAAAGCATTGAGAAACCTTGTATTTTTTAGAAAGAGGAGATGGCCATAGATCATATAGAACGCTGCTATTGGGTTTTAAAGTCTATGTTCTCTTAGTGGTTAGTGATGCTGTGTAAATCAAATATCACATAACGCATACCTTTCACTATCCTTTACTCGGCAAAATATGTTTAATGGTCAAGATAATTTATGCCCTGACAAAAGTATCTTGATAGTTATACTTGAGTATGAAACTGGTGCAGGGTTTAGGAAATAGAAGGACTGGTGCAACGAGTGTGAATGCAGAGAGTTCAAGGTCACATTGTGTATTTACTTGTGTTGTTGAATCCCGATGCAAGGTGGGCTATTCTCTTCATATTACTACTGGCTTTTATGAGGAAGCTGTGAAGCTGAGATGCTACTTTTTCTTTATAATTTGTAGATTAGTATGATGGAAGAAACGTCTGACTTTGTTTGAATGTACTTCCAACAGAATGTTGCAGATGGGTTAAGCAGCTTCAAGACGAGCCGAATAAACCTTGTTGATCTGGCTGGTTCTGAACGACAAAAGCTAACTGGTGCAGCTGGAGAGCGTCTGAAGGAAGCTGGGAATATCAATCGATCGCTCTCTCAGCTTGGGTAGGAATTAGACTAGTCCCCATATATGTGTGTGTGTGTGTGTGTACCTATCTGGTTAATTTTTCATCTCATTTAGCATGGAAGATTCATTTTTTTTTTATACTGCAGAGTGCACTAGAAATCTACTTTTTGATGCTAAAGAACTGACACTTTTGGGATAATGGATCGTCATGTGAAAACTGATGGTAGTACTGTAGGTTCTGCTATTATGCTGTCTTCTAGTTTTTGATACTGCAGCAGGAGAAAAAAAATCTAGTGTTTGATTATAAAGAACTGACACTTTGGGATAATCAAAATAGCTTGAATAGTGATGGTTATAGCGTAGCTTCTTAGGTGTGCTGTGTTCTTCATTTGATATTTAGTAATATAACAATTATTCCTCCATGAAACTGAAATTTACAAATTGTTACGTGCAGGAACTTGATAAACATCCTCGCAGAGATTTCTCAAACAGGGAAGCCGAGGCATATACCTTATAGGGATTCCAGGTTAACATTTTTATTGCAAGAGTCTCTTGGTGGGAATGCAAAGTTGGCAATGGTTTGTGCAATTTCTCCTTCACAAAGGTAACGCATGACCCTCTATTTCCACTTCAACCATTTATTAATCCTCCATCTTATGCAATATAAAGTATGTACGGAAAATTGCAGTTGCAAGAGCGAAACCATCAGCACCTTGAGATTTGCTCAGCGCGCAAAGGCAATACAGAATAAGGCTGTTGTCAATGAAGTGATGCAAGATGATGTAAATGTTTTGCGTGGAGTAATAAGTCAGCTGAAGGTACGCATTCTCTTACATATTTCATAAGATATAGATATAAATGTTGATATGACTTTTAATGGATAAACTTGAACAGGATGAACTACAAAGGATGAAGGATAATGTAAATAATCCAAGCAATCCAAACTTAGCTTATTCTACTGCATGGAATGCACGTAGAAGTTTGAATCTAATAAGAAGCTTTGGTCTGTGTCATCCAAGGTCCTTACCTCATGAAGACGATGACGGAGATATTGAGATGGAAATTGATGAGGCTGCTGTTGAAAGGCTTTGTGTTCAAGTGGGTTTGCAATCATCTCTAGCTTCTGAGGGGATCAATCATGATATGAACATGATCAATTCATCCCTACAAACCCTTAATGACAACAAATCGTGTCCTAAATCATCTGATGGCCAATCCACAGAAAAGCAGCCTCCTAAGGACACATATGTTGCCATGGAGGATGCTAGTTGCCAACCTGAGAACATTGAACCAGAAACAGTGGATAATGCGAGAACTGATACAGAGACGGGCATCACAGCAAATCAGATCAAGACACCCTTGCAAACTTTGGATCACGACTCCAATTCGCAGCCTCTTTTATTAAAGGATACTATTTGTTCTTCACCAAACGAGACAGAAGATGTGCCATCATGCCCTGGCTTGCTTCTGGAAGACGTTGCTTCTGCAAATGTATCTGTAGCTGATGGATTAAATGAACCAGAGCACTTAGTGAATTCTGCATCTCCTAGTCTTTGTATAGATCCAGTTGGCGCTGCTCCTGTATTAAAATCTCCCACACATAGCGTCTCTCCTACAATTAGAAATAGCAGGAAAAGCTTGAAGACATCGGAAATGTCAACAGCATCTCAGAAGAAGGATACTGAGGGAGACAAGCTGGTCATCGAAACTGCAGACCCATCTCCGGCTCCATCCAAGAAGATGAATAACTGTTCTACCGATTTGTCTACACAGAAGAGCAAAGCTTTTCCTGTACGCACCGAGCGTTTGGCAGCTAGCCTCCACAAAGGAATTAAACTTCTTGAGTCGTATTGCCAAAGTACAGCTCAAAGACGGTCGACATTCAGGTTTTCCTTCAAAGCTCCAGATAGTAAGCCTTCAGCCTTTATAAGTAAGGCCGATGCAGGTGTGCAGACGTTTCCCGAAGCTGATGCAATATCAGATGAGAATACAAAAGAAGTTATCTGCAGTAAATGCAAATCAAGAGAGGAGGTTGATGCCCAGCAAATGGGTGACATGCCAAATCTTCAGTTAGTACCTGTTGACAACTCGGAAGTGACAGAAAAACCCAAGAGCCAAGTTCCCAAAGTAAGAATAATGGCCTATTTTTCAATCTGAATTAGACTTAGAAGGATACAGATTTTTGTTTCCACATTCAAATGATGGTGACGATTTTTACACTTTATAGGCAGTGGAAAGGGTTCTAGCAGGATCTATCAGGAGAGAAATGGCTTTTGAAGAGTGCTGCACTAAACAAACCTTTGAGATAACCCAGCTTAACCGACTGGTATGATACTTGATTATCTTCTTTTTTTTTAGTTTCCCTATGCTTTACATACCAAGAGAAGCTTTATAACTGTATCCTCGAACACAAATTGGTTCAAATCGTGTAACAGGTACAGCAATACAAACATGAGAGGGAGTGTAATGCCATCATAGGACAAACAAGGGAGGACAAAATTATTCGACTTGGAAGCCTTATGGATGGCGTACTAACTAAGGAGGATTTCTTGGATGAAGAATTTGCTTCTCTCCTGCATGAACATAAAGTAAGTGTGGGTTCTTGTTTTCCAGATGGGTAATTTGTGACTCCACTACGAAAGCTTTCTCTGACATGTAATATATGTTGCAGCTTCTAAAGGACATGTATCAGAACCACCCTGAAGTGCTGCAGACGAGGATTGAGCTGGAAAGAGCGCAAGAAGAGGTCGAGAGTTTCAGGAACTTTTACGGCGACATGGGAGAAAGGGAAGTGTTACTGGAAGAGATTCAGGATTTAAAGATGCAGCTACAATGTTACATTGACCCTTCTCTTACATCAGCTCGGAAAACGTGTTCCCTGCTTAAGCTTTCGCACCAGGCTCCTTCATCAGTTAACGAGAGTCTTGAGAAGACATTAGAGCAGGAAAGACTTCGCTGGACAGAGGCAGAGACAAAATGGATCTCTCTCGCGGAGGAACTAAGAACAGAGCTTGAAGCCAGTAAAGCGGTGATGAATAAGCAGAAACACGAACTCGATATCGAGAAACGATGTGGGGAAGAGTTGAAAGAAGCAATGCAGATGGCTATGCAAGGGCATGCGAAGATGCTTGAACAGTATGCAGATCTTGAAGAGAAGCATATGCAATTGCTCGCGAGACACAGAAGGATTCAAGAAGGCATCGACGACGTTAAAAAGGCAGCTGCGAAAGCCGGAGTTAAAGGAGCAGAGTCCAGATTTATAAACGCACTCGCGGCGGAGATCTCGGCGTTAAAGGTGGAAAGAGAGAAGGAGAGACAATACTTGAGAGATGAGAACAAAAGTCTCCAGACACAACTTAGAGATACAGCTGAAGCTGTACAAGCAGCTGGAGAGTTACTTGTTCGTCTTAAAGAAGCTGAAGAAGGTTTAACAGTTGCACAGGTACATTATTTCTCAAAGTGTGATTATTACATATTTACCTAATTTTATTTTCATATCAAATAAACTACGCATGTTCTTGAATCAAAAACAGAAACGAGCGATGGATGCAGAGTATGAAGCTGCAGAGGCGTATAAAAAGATCGATAAGATGAAGAGAAGACACGAAAACGAAATCAACACTCTTAACCAAATCAATAGTGTAAGCAAAGAATGCTCAACGGAATGTGATGAAGCCGTGAAACCAAGTGAGAAGCAATGGAGAGATGAGTTTGAGCCGCTTTACAATGATGAAACCGAGTTTTCAAAGCTTGCTGAACTGTCTTGCTTCTCTGGTTATGACCGGTGCAACATCTAATCCTAATTTGCCACAATTTGTATAAAATGGGTGTCTGATTCTATGATGTAAAAGTTTCAAAAAAATTCGGTTTTTTATGCACATATACTCAGGGACGTTGCATTTAAAAGCAGTCATCTAAACCGTTAGATTAAAATTTCCTTTTTTCTCTGCCCAATAAAATTATGCTGATGTCAGCAGTCCCGAAAACCAGAAGCCTATATGATTGTGAATGACACGAAGTTAAAAACCCTAATTTCTCTGTTCTGTCTTGTCGCTTTCTTCCATGGGAAGAGAGGAGACGAGAAATCAAAAGGGAAACAATGAAGTTTACCGATCTCCAACGTGAATTGGGATCGGAAATACTTTCTTGGGTTCCGGCCACGTCTCTCTACCAATTCCGATTTACTTGCAGACGATGGTACGCTTTATTATTCAAGGATCCGAGATTCATCAAGGATCACTCAGGGAAAGCAGCGACGCAGGTGATCTTAAAGAAAGGTAAAAGTGTTTATTCGGTTAGCATCGATCTCCATGGAACCCACAACAGCTTTGATCCATCTATTGGGTTTAGAGGTAAACTTAAAAGTCGAGAAGATTCAGAACAGGTCATGATATCTCATATCTTTCACTGCGACGGTTTATTACTGTGCCACACCAAGGAAGGTAGACTCGTGGTTTGGAACCCTTGTACCGGTCAAACAAAGTGGATCCAGTGTCCCGGTAATCGTAAAGCAACATACAGTCTGTGTGTTCTGGGATACGAAAACAATGACAAATCTTTCCGTAGCTACAAAATATTGAGCCGTGGGAATTATTACAATAACCAGTTGCTGAGTTTGAAGAAATCTATGATTTTAAGTCTGATTCATGGAGGGTTCTTGATGATGTCACCCACGACGGGTGGATAATAAGTCGTGGAAGGGAAATACTTACTGGGTTGCTCAAGTAAGAGAAAACACCAGATTCTTACTCAGGTTTGATTTCGAAAGAGAGAGATTCGAACGTCTTTCTCTTCCGTTTCAGTGTCTTCATCCTTCCGATGGGATTTTCTCTCTCTCAGTTGGTAGAGAAGAGAAACTTTACGTGTTACTTGAGAGGCTTAACAAAGATTCATTAGAGATGAAGATATGGGTGACCGATACTAATATGGATAAATCCAAAGATATCCAATACTCCTTAGTCATGGATTTTGGTAAAATTATGATAACTGGTATGACGACTGTGCGGAGTTTCTTGGTGGAGGAGGAGAATAAAAGGGTCGTCTGTTGTTGTAGAGTCGAGGAAAATAGAGAGAAGACCAGAATTTTCACTGTTGGAGGAGACCATAAGATATAGGTATGTAAACAAGCTCATGGAGAGAATTCTCAAGGACCATATTGGCCATTTCTCGTAAGTTATGTTCCAAGTTTGGTTCAAATTTAGGAAAGTGGAGACAAATGTTAATTAAAGCGATTCTCCATTAAAGTTTTATAGTTTCATTGAACGAGATTAGTCAACTAATTTAATTGTGGTTGTTTTTGGTTAGTTAATATTATACCTTTGAAATCAGATTTTGGTGATCTTACTCAAATACATTTATTGTTTATTGTTTATGACTTTCAAATATATACAACAACCAAAACGAAGAGACAAAAACGATAGAGTAGAAAAAGCTAAGAAGGGTGGCGAAATGTAATTGTTTTGGTTAAGTTATGTTCCAAGTTTGACTCAAATACAGCAAGTGGAGGCAAATGTAAAAGGACCTTCCTCTATTTAAGTTGTATACAGTTTCATTGAACGAGATTAATCAACTAATTTAATTGTGGTTGTTTTTCAAAAATATACAACAGCCAAAACGAAGAGACAAAAACAATAGAGTAGAAAAGCTAAGAAGGGTAGCGAAATGTCATCACATAAGCAACCTTATTAGTTAATGTAACTTACTCAAATACATTAATTCTTACTAAAAAACATTAATTCTTTATTGTTTATAACTTTCAAAAATATACAACAACCAAAACGAAGAGACGAAAACAAAAGAGAAGTAAAAGCTAAGAAGGGTGGCCAAATGTCATCGCATACGCAACCTAAGAAATTTATGGATCAAAATTTTGATACTATGATTTTGTTACATGAAATTATGAATCTACTAGAATTTTGTTACATGAAATTATGAATCTACTAGAATGCAAAGAAAAAAACATTTAAAATCTTTGTATCTAATTTGCAAACTGCTAAATTATACACATGTCTAAAGCTTTTAAGAACTGCTTTTGGAATCCTCTGCTTCACCAGAATGTGGTTGTGTAGGAGATGATGCTGGTGGTAGAATTGGAGCTAGTGTAGGAACTGAATCAGAAGCCCTAGGACTTGATGATAAAACATGATGACTATATCTTTTAAGCAACCTAACTTTTTCGCTATTCCACCATTCTTCTGCTTGATGCTCATCAAATCTCCGTTTACTGCCAAAAACTCAAAGATTTACACAATCTATAGATAGAGAAGAGAAACAAATTTGATGAAGAAACAAAAAAAAAAAAACCTGAATCTAACTCTTCTAAAGATCTTTCCGCCGTTTTTGTGCAATACATAAGTAACATAAACACCAGGCTCAAATTGTTCGATAATCTCCTTGCCTCCTGATTTTGATGGTGGTGATGAAGCTTCCGTTGGTGGTCTTGAATCCGACGGGTGAGAAGTTGCATCAGTTATGTTTGAAGGTTCTTGAGACATCGTGGTAGCTCCACTAGATGATGATTGTAGCTCTAGTTTTTGCTCTTGTGTGTTTGCAGAAAGGGTTGTATCTTGTTGAACCATACCCAAAGTTGTAGGTAAAGATGTTTTAGATGCTTCACTCGCATTTAGATAGGCTTCGGCTTGCGAGTTCATTGATCAAAAGCTTCACATCTAGATACTTCAGGGGGTAGTTTCTCCTTTAATTCTCTCAACTATAAAATGGGAGAATGATATATTGAAAAATTGACTCATCTTAGTTGAGATTCACTAATCTTTTGAGAATGTTTTATGATCCATATAATGAGTAAGTAGCTTACATGTTCAGCGACAGATTTCATGACTTCTGTTGCTGCCTTATGCTTTGAAGAATGCTTTACAGCTAATTCAGAAACCTCTCTTGCTGTTTTCTTTAGTCTTTGGATCTTTGTACCTTGATGATCACACTTCTGTTTCGGACTCCTAACCTGAAAGTGGAGAAGTTGTTTATTAATCAATGTGTTAGATTCATTTCAACGTTTGATAAACTGGGAACTGTTTTAGATAATATACAAACCTGGCTCTGCAATTTTGTTATTTCATGATTTATACACCGTTTGTCTTCTTGATGTTCTTGTACTTGAGGACAATGAGGAAGAGGGTCTAAATGCATTCTGAATCGCGCTAAGCGAGCTCGGAAATGCGACATCTTTAAGTTGCTGAAGAGCTGGGACTTGTGAGGCTCTTACAATAGAAGATTCAGATCTTGATGACCTAACCTCAGAGTACTTGACCGGTTCAGTTTTGGGGGACAACAAAATTCTCGACGACCTTGTTTCTCTGTCTGGTCTTACCAAGCCATCTAGTGACCTTGTAGGAGTCGAGGCGTTTCTATTAGCAACACTGGAGTTATAAACATAGTCTCCAGCTTTAAGCTTTGTGTAACAAGCATCACATACACGATGTGGCTTCCCTGGAGTTGGAGCTAATGCAGCCTTCAAAGCTTTCTTGGAGCTACAAGCATGACAATGTACTAAACCGCAGTTGTAACAATTATGTCTCTTTCTTGTAAAACCAAATGCTTGACGACAACCAGAGCAAACTGATTGATCAGCTCCTGAGACCCATTTATGGATGCATATGCTTGATGAAAAGTTAGAGCCACATGATATGCTCTTCACATGCCTCTCTCTTAGAGATTACTCAATCCTAAAGAATACACAGTCCAAAAAAATTGCACTTGCTTCACTATGTCTTGTACACATTTTGCAAATTTTTATTATCTTTTATGAACGGAATTAGAATTGTGTATCTAACACGACTTGCGCATTATATATTCTTTATATCGTTATATTTGTTTAGATGATGAACTAATTAAAATCGTCATGATCATGGCACTATCATTTTACTTTTATAAGTGTACTTTTTCTTTATCGCAACTCTAGCATGATCTGATACATCCGTAACACAACTTTTAATAATACAACAAAGATCTTGTTCTACCATTCTTTTTACAGACGATGATGAATATTTGCTTTCTTCTTAATTAAACAAAAGATACAAGAAGAAACTAAACTAGAATCCAAGAGGCTACTAATATAACTCAGTACCGTTACTTCGTTCACCTTTTTGTATTCTCAATGTACAAAGAACTTTGATCATCTCTCTGGCTCAAGTTTCATCTGAACCGTAACCGTTGGTTCATAACCTGACACATACAACCAAATGACAATGTAAAATTGACATCAGACATCTTAAAACAAAGACTTCACATTCTTGATTTAATGCAATGTAAATTTTGTTTTCTTGTTTTGCTTACAGTTGATGTTTTGTTGCTGACTATCATCTCTGAAACCCATTTGAACAATACTTTGAAGATCGTTTTCCCAAAAGGTCGCCGCCTAAAGAAAACACAACGCATAAACTTTCAGAGAAAGCAAGAAAGACTCACTTTTGACAACATAACCCAAAGTATCTTCAACATTAAAGTACCTCAGCTTGAACAAATCCATCACTTGAAGTACTCAAAGAGTTCATCTGAAACTGAGTTTGAGTCTCCAAGAATCTAGGAAGGTTCTTGCCAAGTGCAAAATACTCTGAAGGAAGTCTTTCCTCGGAGCAAGATATCGCCTGCGATAATGACTCTCCCAGCTGCAACATCTACGCATAGATATATATATATATATAATCTTCTCATCAGATACACAACATTCTACAAGAGGCAGAGGCAGTCTTTGCTATGAATGAATACAATAAGTCAATAACATAAACAGATATGTTAAAGCTAAAGTACCTCTGAGGATATTAGAGCATTGGCATATAACTTCGTTCTTGGATGTATTGTTGCCAACTTCATAGATAAGAACTGGAGAAGTAAAGAGTTTCAGCAATAAGAAACACACAGCTCCATGTTCAAGAAACAATAAACAGCTGATTATACCTCGACTTGTCTCTGCAACGACTGCACATAATTTATAATCTCATCAAGCATTACAGCTTTCCCAGTAATCCTGTTGCAACCAGGAACCAAATCCTGAAGCAACTTCATTCTCTCACTAATCTTTTCTCTTCTTGCCTATTCCCAAAAGTCCAAAGCATCGAATTTTTTTAGTTCAAAGTCAGAATAAACAAAAACCAGATCTTAAGAGTTTCAATGTTTCAGTATATACCCTTTCAGCTATACTGTGGCTATCTGTTGCTTGACCTCTTCTTGCTCTTACATGAATATAATCCTTGTAAGGATCGTCCTTGTTCTCAATCTTCTCTGTCTCGTTCTGCTTGCTTCTCTTGCCAGCTACAGTTGAACTTTTCTCTTCAGAAATCTGAACACAACAACACACAGAATTTACAAACTTTAGATACCAAGAACATCACATTCAATCATAAAGAGTTTATAGATTCGAAAAACCTTGGAATTGGAAGCTGTGAGAGACGAGGAAGCAGGAGACTCCTTTCCATTTCCAGTGGGAATCGATTTTCTCTTCCTGGACTTGGGTTTGGTCTTAGATGCTTTAGAAACCGAATCTGGATTCAATAACGAGCTCTTGTCGCTCTCCTGTGTTGTCGGTTTCGATTCCAGAACCTGATTGGGTACGAATTGTGATTGATACGGGAATCGAATTGGGAAATTCTCGGAGATGTTGGAGAGTGATGATATCTCCTGCGTGTCGCAAAATCTTCCGATTAAGTCACTGATCATCGTCGCTTCGTTTCCATTGCTAAAGGGTAATAAGCAGTTTAGGGTTTCTTCTGTTTCCTTGTCCATAATCAAAAATCTAAAAGAGAACAACAGTTGCAGAGGAAAGTGAGAAACTTTTTTCTAACAGAATCGAAATTAAGCGTAACCCAGAAAACAGAAAGTTGGAGAACAGCTAAAATCGATAAAGTAAAGAGACGAAATTTCTAGATGATTCCTCTTCTGGTGAACGCAAATGTAGAAATCCACAGAAAGAAAAGACTAACAAAAGTATTACCTTTTTTTTTTCAATTTGCAGAATTTAGTGAAGATATTTCAGAAATGGGATTGAGAAAATCTGATGAGAAAATGAGAGGGGGGAGACCCCAGAAAGAGAAATAGGCTCAAGAATTGAAAACGAGCAATCACGGATCAATCAGAGAGAGGAAGACAATGACATGTAGCGATGAATGAGGGAAGATAAATTTTTTTATTTGAGAAAACTGACAAAAGAGAAGTAAATTTTACAGTTTTCAAAGAGAATCGTAGGTAGTGAAAGTGGGTGGCGGGCAGCTCACAGATCCCTCTGTAATGATTGGAGAGAGAGAAAGAGAGATTAAAAACTGTTAATTGTAGTTATTACTAGTTAGATTATGTTTAATTTCCCAAACGATGATTAGAAGTTAAGATAGTCCTCACAGGAACATGGCAAAATGGCGTTTGGTTTGTTCAATTGTTTGTCTCTACACGCTCAAAAGTCAATAATTAAGAGTTGACTGTGGAAGGTTAGATCTTGAATTTGATGATTGATCTATTTTTTAGTCTTTAAAATAAAAAATTTTGATTTTTTTTAAATATTTTATAGATTTTGTATCTTACTATCTTGCAAATGTGTATATATCAGCAACAATCTGCCGAGTTTCCATATGTTTAATCACAGGTGATTGCAAGAAGTAAAATTACCAATATGAGTATAATTCTTTGTGAGTGGTTTCATTTTGAAGCACAAAAGCAGAGGAAACTAATATACAGTTCATGAATTATAAGATTTGTCAAATGCTTATTTTTACTATTTCTTAATCAAGACAAAATCGTTACATCAGACCATAAATTATATTTATAATTACTCTAATCAAGTTGTTAAAGTTCAAGTATCTTTATATCAGTTTATTCTCTAAGTGTTATAAAGACTCTAGGTGGAATAGTTTAAGATCTAGAGAGAGAGAGAGTAACGATGAACAAGAGAGAGCTTTAGCTTGAGTTGTTTTTAGTGGATTCTGGAGTAAATCTCAAGCGAGACGTAAGGTGTTAGTTTAGCCTCGAACTTGTTAAATCATTGTGTCATTCACTTATTTTCTTCTACTTCTTCTAATCTTCTTGAATCAATTGGTATTGCGAGCTAGATCTGAAGCGTTGGATTGAGAAGCAAGTCTAACAAAGTGGTATAAGAGCCTCAGGTTGGGGAAAGGTGAATCGGGAGGGAGCGATTGAGGAGGATCGATTCGAAATGTCAACTTCTACGGGAATCGAGAAGTTTGATGGCGGCGGCGACTTCTCGATGTGGAGGCGACGGATGTATGCTCATCTGAGCATATCAGGGTTGAAGGATGTCCTCATCGACATCACAGGGAGCTCAACTTCAACGGGAACTCTAGTATAGTTGACAGCTACAGGATTTACGCCATTGACCAGTACACCTCCGACGGCAGCTGCGACGACTCCTTCAGTGTCAGGAAGGCTCAAGATTCGGCGAAATTGAAGATTGAGCAAGATCCGATGAGAGCAGAGCGATGTGAAAGGGCGCTACACATGATCTTTTTCAGCGTAACAGATCAAGTGCTAAGGAAGATTGAATGGTGTGAGACAGCAGCTGCAGCGTGGGCGTTACTGGAGAGGTTATACATGCCAAGATCGTTGCCTAATTGAGTTCATGCACAGCTACAACTTTATAGCTTCATGATGCAGGATCATCATGCGATCAATGAAAATGTGGATGACTTCTTGAAATTGATTGCTAGGCTGAGTCATTTGATAATTGATCTTCTAAAAGAAGTTCAAGCTATTCTTCTCTTCAACGCTCTTCCAACAAGATATGATCAAGTAAAGAAAACTCTCAAGTATGAGAGGGACTCATTATGCTGGAAGAATTGTTTACAGCAGCAAGATCAAAGGAGAAGAAGTTCAAGGATAATCCAGGGAACTCGAGGTATAGTAGAGAAGGTCACTATGTAAGAGGCAGAACAGACTCAAGAAGTGAGAGGTCATGTAAAGGGAAGCACAAGGACAACAGGTCAAGGTCATCTTCAGAGAGAAAGAAGATTTGCAGGATTTGCTGTAAAGAAGGGCATTATAAGAAGCAATGCTACAAATGGCTTGAGCAGAACAAGCATAAGCTCCAGTCTCAAGATAGAGGAGAGTCAGCAATGGCTAAGGATGATGCTCAAGATTTGGCTGGTCTAATTGCGTGTGAAGTTAATCTGTCTCAGGAATCTGACAAGGATGAGTGGATAATGGACACAGGATGTTCTTTCCACATGATACTGAGAAAGGAATTGTTCTTTGAGCTTAAAGAACTTACATCGGGCAAGGTCAGAATGGCTAATAACACACATGTTGAGGTGAAGGGCATTGGCTCAATAAGATTTCTGAATCCTGACGGCACTACTTTTGTTCGAAGCGAGGTCAGGTACATGCCAGAGATAGAAAAGAATCTGATATCAGTTGATACTCTAGAGAACAAACTGTGTGAGTTTAAGGGTGCTATACAGTTATCATGAAAGGTATCAGGAAGGACAGTGATACGTTGTACTTTATTCAAGGGTCAGCAAAGGTAGCAGAAGCTTAGGTTAGTCAGTCAAAAGTATCTACTAAGGCAGAGAGATCAAAGGATCAGACAGATCTTTAGCATAGCAGAATGGGTCACGTCGGTCAAAAGGGGTAGACGTTTTGCACAGGAAGGGTTGCTTTGGGAAAGACAGGGTTTCAGAGATCAAGTTCTGTGAGGATTGTGTTGTAGGTAAAACACACCGAGTCAGTTTTGGTCCTGCACAGCACATAACCAAAGAGAGACTCGATTACATACACTCCGACTTGTGGGGATCACCTAATGTCCCTTTGGATTTAGGAAGGTGTCAATATTTCGTGTCATTCACGGATGATTGGTCTCGAAAGGTGAGGATTTATTTCCTAAAGTCCAAAGATGAAGCATTTGGCAGATTTGTCGAGTGGAAGCAGATAGTTGAAGTGCAAAAGGAGAGAAAGGTCAAGAAGTTGAGAACAGACAATGGCTTGGAGTTTTGCAATAAGAGGTTTGATCAATTTTGCAAGGATGCATGCATTGTCAGACACAAGACATACACATATACGCCTCAACAAAATGGCGTAGCTGAGAGATTAAACAGGTCTATAATGAATAAGGTCCGCAATATGCTGAGTGAGAGCAGTCTTGGTAAAAGTTTCTGGTCTGAAGCAGCCTCAATTGCGGTGTACCTGATCAATCGTTCTCCATCGCCAGTGGTTGAATTCAACATACCAGAAGAGCTGTAGTCTTCAGAATTGCCAAGTCTTGCACACTTGAGAAGATTTGGATGCGTACATTCAAACGATGGGAAACTGAATCCAAGAGCCAAAAAGGGAGTCTTCACAGGGTATTCGGAAGGAGTAAAAGGTTTCAAGGTCTGGTTGCTTGACGATAAGAAGTGTATTATCAGTCGTAACATGATCTACAGAGAAGATGTTATGTTCAAGGACATCGGTGCAGAGTCAGAGACACTCTCAGGTACTTTGAAACTTCATATGTTATCTAACAAGTTTGTGAGAAATGATCTTGCAGGTAACATGTTAGAAGAGGACGAGACTCTAGAAGAGGATGAGACACTTGAAGAAATTATCGTTCAAGGTGGAGCTAATACAGAAGAAGTTTATCAAGAGGTTTTAATTCAAGAGAATGAATACGAGGTGACAAGTCAGGATTCTAGCAGAGAACAATCAGAAGATGATGGCAGACCGAAAAGGGATACAAAGTTGTCAGTAAGGCTGAAAGACTTCCATTTGTATCAAGACGACGATGATGAAGATGACATCGCGGGTTATGCTTATCTGATGGTGAAAGATGGTGGCAAAATCGAACCGCAAAGTTTCAAAGAAGCCATGAATGATCCTGATAGTGAGGAGTGGACATAAGCTAAAGATGAAGAAATGACTTCAGTACTGAAGAACAAGACTTGGATTCTGGTGGACAGAGGCAAGGGTCATAAACTTATAGGATGTAAATGGGTGTTCAGGTGCAAGGCATGAATCAGTGGAGTCGAAAATCCGAGATACAAAGCGCGCTTGGTGGCTAAGGGCTACTCTCAGAAGGAGGGAGTTGACTATCAAGATATGTTCTCTCCAATAGCCAAATATATTTCCATTCGTCTACTGCTGTCTATCGTGGTTCACTTCGACATGGAACTGCAACAGATGGATGTGAAGACGACGTTTTTACATGGTTTCTTGGATGAAGAAATATACATGGAGCAGCCTGAGGGGTATGTTGACAAGAATAATCCAGAAAAGGTTTATCTGCTCAAGAGGTCACTGTACGGTTTGAAACAGTCTCCAAGATACTAGAACTCCAGATTTGATGACTTTATGATTGCAAGCGGGTATAAGAGGAGCAACTATGATGTCTGCGTGTACTATAAGAGGGTGAAGACTGGGAGTAACGTGTACTTGCTGTTATATATTGACGATATTCTCATTGCGTCGAAAGATAAGGAACAAGTGCAGAAAATCAAAGAGCTGTTGAACTCAGAGTTTGAGATGAAGGATTTAGGAGATGCGAAGAAGATACTTAGCATGGAGATAACTCGAGAGAGGACAAGAGGTACTCTTACGATATCTCAGGGAGGATACTTACAGAAAGTTCTGGGAAACCTTGCCATGAATCAATCGAAAGAAGTGCTTACACCGATGGGAGTTCACTTCAAGCCGATATCAACTACAGAAATAGTGGCTGGGGAACAATTTGATAGGATGAGATCGGTTCCATATCAGAGTGCAGTCGGAAGCTTAATGTATGTGATGATAGGAACAAGACCGGACTTAGC